ATTCCTCGTGTTTCGCAGCTGGTGATGCATTTGGAGGCCGGTTTGTGATGCGCAACCTCTCGGCCCACGCTTCGCTTCATATTGAGGCATGCCGATCAGAGTAATTGGGGACGTGGCCCAGGATTTCGGGAGGGGGTTGAATCACCCAGAGTGAGAGGGGGATTCTTGTTTCATTTCCAGGCTAGTTCAAAATTAAGGCCGACAGAATGGGCCGAAAAGAAACAATAGGGAATCCGAGGGGTAAACAGGGTTGATGCATGGTGTGTAACTAAAATTCCACTTCGTCGGAGGCCAGTGGAACGTGCGTGACGCAACCGCCGCTAGGCAACATGAAAGAATTTTTTAAGCGAAAACGCGGAACCTACCGCTTTTCTCTCACCAGATTCACGCCAACTCTATTGCAAGAACCCAAGACATAGGAAGCATCTAAGCCTTCGAGTCAGCTTAATCAAGTCTGCGAGGTTGGCTAGGAGCGTAATCGCCCGATTGGGGCGGGTATAGAGGAACCCTGGCTTGAAAGTTTGTAAGTAGGGCACCCGCACTGGGGGCACTGCAGGAGAGTTCAGAGAACCAAGCCAAGCTTTCGTATCCCAGCACCAACCTCCGCCAGGAACACGAGTCTCCTTGCTGAAACCAGCGACAATTAAACTGGGGCTGCCACGTGGTGTGGGCCGCCGACCACGACAGCACCGTCAAATCAGTATAAGGTAAGATCAGGAATGGGGAAGAAAACTGATCAATCAGAACGAACCCACTCCCCCCTACGTGACAAGCATTGGATGGGTTGTATTATAACTTGTATAGATGAACCCAGTCGATTCGCAACAACGCACTTCGCACATCCGCATCGCAATACACACTGTCTTGATCTGCGATCGGGAATGACGGAAGGGCGATAAGAGAGTCGAGCACAGGCAGTTAGCCCGCTCACATTTAGTGTAGTAAATCTCGACTCCATGCAAATCTTAATGGATCTCACCCCACGCTCTCCCACTTAACAAAATGCAAGTTCAAGGATACAGCGTCGTTTTTTAACTTAGTCACCAAATCGTTATGAGGACAAAATACCTATGGCCAAGTAGCCAAGAGATGGGGCGACGCGTGGAGACACAGGCGACTGATGCCTTGGGTTACGACGACCAGTCGGGTGGAACAAAGGACAACCTGACACGTGGCACTTGCGCGAGAGAGGGAAGAAAGGAAAGAGAGGGAAGAGCGGGCGACATTTCCCCATGCTCATGGATAGTGCCAGGAATCGGCAAGGGGTGGGGAACATAAGGGGAGATCAACACACTCATGCATACAAGCAGACGTTCGATACCCCCGCCTTTCCCCAGGGTCGCGCCTACAAGGCTACAACGCTTTACACCCGTGACATCACTCCACATCCATACATCCATGCATCTTGGACAACGAAGCACCCAGCATCCATAGACCCTTATAAGTTATAACCAACGTCATGCATACAACAGACTACTCACACCGAGTCTACAGCACACACGATACTTCGACAAAGCAGCGATGGAGAAAAGACTGAATTCAAAATTTCACAACACCGGCCTCAACCGGGCACAGCCCCCAACCAACCAGAGCGTCAACCAACCATAGCCACAAGGCCCTACCACTGGCTACGTTCTATCTCCACCACCGCTCAGTCCCTCTGACTGCACGTACCCCCAAGTCTACCGCTAAACCCACCCCACGTCGCCACTTCGTCCGTCACTTAAGCATCTCAAGCCTTTTCGGCGTTGTGGTCTTCGCGCATAGCTCGCTCAGCATTGCAACCGAGATCAAAGAGGAGGAAAGGAAGAGGCTGCGAGAATTTATAGCACGGAAGGAGACGGGGTGCCAGCGTGGGATGCGGGCAGCAAGGGGGGTAGATGAGTAGGACATAAGAAGAGAGGAGGTTCCAGAAGGTTCGAAAGAGGCAGGATGATCAACATTTTTCATTCACTTGGGGTGGTCGTCCAAGTTGTGCATGCAAGTTTGCTTTCGCGGCATTGATCCGACCATCCCAACTAACGACCAATTGATCCCCCCAAAAGGTAAGAGAAGGATCGGGCGTAGAGTCTGGGGAAGACAAAGGGACATGCAAGGAGAAGCGCCCAATTAGAGGGGAAGATGGTGCACACACGCAGAGCGGGAACCGAGCTTACACAACATGCAAGAATTCAAAAATGGTCGCAAGCACTTCAACACGAAGAAAATTTGAATGTCGACAATCGTAATTCCTAACTGTTTTATGGATTTCTCCGCGCGGTTGCTAACTGTCCCAAGCAGAGATTCTGAACTAATTTGAACGAGGAAGGGGTAATTTCAAAAGATGCATTCCTTCAGTCTCTCAAAAAGAAATGAAAAATGGACCGTGCTTTTCTTGATCGGCTAAGATTTGTGCTTCGGGGCTTACTTCGGTTCTTACCCCCAGGGTACGATAATCCGCGAAGTACAGATCCCAACTTATCACATCTGTGATGCGTAGGGGGTTCCGAAAAATTGGCAGTCTACTGCCTGCCTGCCACGTGTCCTGGTTTTCTTGATGACCAAGACAGGCTCTTCATCCTCGGCTGACCTTAATTACCCACTAATCTACTCAAGGTGCATCCCGCACCCTTTTACACCTTTTTATTATACAACCGATCGAGTGACCACTTCATCGTCAACTGGCCCGTTTGTGAATCTTTTCCTCTTTACAGCACAATTCTTCTCGCATTCTTTCACAGTTGCCTTTGTACGAGAAGAGAGAAAACAAGAAGAAAAAGAAAACAAAAGAGGAGGGGAGCAAAGACGAAGTGATCAAGTTCAAAATTAAGAGAGGGAGGGAAAGGAGAAAGAAAGGTCGTCGAGGTGGCAGGTGTCGTCGGTGCATTCACTTCATTGAAGACTTAGTGATGTTGGATGGAGGGGTACAGGAAATCCCCAAACGTGCGCAATAGGACACGATCAATTGCCATGTGCCTTCAATAAGGCAAAAGTCGTTTTGGGCCTGTCTTCTGGTCTGACAGCACATGGTGAAAACAATGTCGGATATAGAATTTCGAGAATACTCGGGGCACACCCAATAGCGTCCAGGAGATTGTCAATATAGGGCAATGAGTAAAAATCTTTTGTCGTAATAGCGTTTAGTTTTCGAAAATCGATGCAGATGCGAACAACCTCGTTTCGTTTTGGAACGAGGACAACCAGAAACAACCAGGGTCCCAAGGACGGTTCCACCCACCCGAGACGGTCTAATGCCAGCCACCGCTCTTTCAATGAATAGCAGTACGGTCGACAATAAATCAGCACATGGTTCCCGGTATCGATGGCGTGCTCTATCAGGTGTGTCAGGCCTATGTGATGCTCCTGGATGGAAACCACCTCAGGGAAGGTCTATAGCACCGTAACAAGGAGGTGACTGCAGTGTTGTACTGCCGTTCATTGTTCATGGGGTCTGTGAATGGCGGCTGGTGACCGGTAGGAGTTCATGAAGTTCACGACGAGCGGGGTCGGGTTTTGTTTGTTTGTTTTGGCTGGGGGGTGTTTTTTTTTTTGTAGGAGGGTGGGGGTCAACGGAGTGTAACCCCCCATAATTTTTTCATTTTTTCTTCACGAATAATATTTTTTAAATAAAACAAGAAAACAAAATCAAGGAACCAGCCAAAATAAGCATTTTTGTTTGTTGTTTTGTAGGTTGCTTCAATTTTTTTATTTTTTTTTTAACGTCATCACGAGGTGGGGCTTGCGGCGACTGTAGCGGGTGAGACGGGAAAATAAAAAGGGGAAAATAAAAAAAAACACCACGCTTTTGTGGTTTTGCCATGCACAGGCGCAGGGCCATATGACCGGCCGGTCACCGGTCACGTTCACGGCGACGCCACTGGGTGACTGTACTTGTGCTGTGAGCTGGAAATTGAATGTGGATGGTCTTTACAGGGAGCCAAATCTTTGGTGGTTTCCTATCCCCGAACCAGGAACTGTATGTTTTCACCGAGAGTACTGTCGCTATGAGCTAACTGTCAGCCGAACTTACAGGTCCCATTTCCGCTTTGCCTTCTGTGCAGATGGGTTCATGGGGCGAGGGTTCGACTGCGAAGGCCTGCAGCAGCTCAAACGGCCCCATCCCTTAGAAGCAAAGCTGCCAGTCTGAAGACTCTGACGTTCTGAATTGAACTGCAAAGTTCAAACTTCAAAAAAAAAAAAAAAAAAAAAAACATTTGGCGGTGCATCGTTCGAAATTCTAGCGGAAGATTCATTCTCATTTTGCACATTAAGAGTGGTGGGGCGAGGCGCATTGTGTGAATTTCAGAACATGCATGCACGTCTCAACCGACGATGTTTAACGTCCAGATACATTCTGACAACAACGGTCCAGGGAAGTCGCACGATCACCTCCGATCGCGTCTTCCACTCCACCCCAGTCCACGCCGTTGCTCTGAATTCCCGAACATGCATGCACCTCCTCATCCAGCAGCGTTTAACGTCCAGATGCATTCTGACAAGGACGATCCAGGGGACATCGTTCCGATGATCGCCGATCGTGTGCTCCTCCTCTCCATCCAACGGCCGAAAGCTACCGCTGTATCGGGACTGAAACGTGCAGCACAGCAATACACCTACGATGGCCGGTCCTTCTATTGGGGCAAAGATGGCCTCAAGGCAGACGGCGAAGATTCCCAGTACGGACGTGACAACAAGGCTCGCGTGTGACCCATGCACTTGGGTGGCTCGGTCTCGTCGGATATCCTATAAAAACGTGCAAGAACTCATCCTGCGCACGAGCATATGCGGTCACGAACCACTCTGCGAGGTAGTGGCCTGCGTAGTGTGAGACAGAGAGAGCGAGAGAGGGGCGGTAGTGAGCGAGCTATTGTGCCTGGGAGAGATCTCCCGTTGGAGTCCTTGCGAGTGTGCTTTTCCTTTCTGTACGCACGAGGAGCTGTTAGCTGAGAACCCAGGAGCGACGATGACGTCTGCTAGCTGTTTGTTGATGATCGTGATGCTTGCGGCTATGGCGGCCGCAGGTGTGCATAACGTTGAGGCTGCAGGCCCTCGCCGGCTGCTGGGCCCCGTACAAGTTTCTCTCGGCGCCGTGAAGATCAGGAAGGTGACCGTTGCTGGGTCTGGATGTCCACATGAGACACCGTTAGTCAGCATCTCTGCCGATAACCAGGCCGTCACCATTCCATTTTTGGAGTACCAGGTGGTCGTTCCAGCGGCACTGAAGGACCGTCAGAAGTCGTGCACCATCAGCATCGACCTCGATTATCCTGCTGGCTGGACGTACGTGGCCAGCAAGTGGACCTACCAGGGATGGGTGGAGCTGCAGAAGGGTCTGGTCGCTTATCAATCCGCCAAGTACTACTACCAAGGAGGACAGCCGGCTTGCGAGCGCATTGCCAAGTGGGATGCTCTGGAGAAGCCCATCGCTGGCAGGTCGTACACCATTCAGGAGGTTTGTCCGGAGGGCATCTCGTTCAGCCCTTGCGGAGAAGTTCGGGGCCTGAACATCTTGACCAGGATGTGGATCGACAACAAGAAGAACTACAATGCTGAGGGTGTGATTAAAGCAGAGGTCGTCGACGGCGAAGTGAAGTCCTGGAACTTGTTTGTCTGCCACCTGTACTGGCAATGGTGTCACTGAGGAAGAGAGTTGAGGAGTACTTAGAGCAGTTGGAGCCATGATCTATGCTCCAGTCTCTCCTGCTCGGACGCTACCCGGTCGAGTTCTTATGATCGTTTGGAGGCGAAACTTATGGCTGGACGGGTGTTAGTCTTGTCTGGAAAAGAGAGAGAGAGAGAGAGAGAGAGAGAGAGAGAGAGAGAGA